TCTCTAATCTTTGTGGAGCCACCATACGAATCTTGTAATGTTTATCTCTATATCTCTTTACAAATAAAACATAGTACATACATTCTGATGGTTATAATTGAGCACAATTAATAAATCATGTATGTAACTTACTCAAATGAAAATGTAATAAATATCATAAATGCTACAAACGATGTAAAACAAAGATTGTTTTATATGAACAAAGATAGCACATTTTATCAGAAAATAAACCTATATTCATATACAGTATAAATCATTATTACTGGGACTTACTGTCATAAACAGCTGAATTTAATTCTAAGTACAGTTTTTCCAATGCATATTGCTCAGGGTTCTGTTAATAAGGGAGAATTAGAAACTGGACACTGAATAGACAGCTAGGAGTTTTTGCCACACTGGAAGATGTAAACAATCCACATGGGTGACCCATGAAGACCTTAGCCTTCAAGTTCCTTGATCGTATCTCCAATGATGTTCTTCTCCTCAGCTAACTACTACCAAGGTCACACTCCAGACCTTATCATTAATAGAAATTGTTTAATCTCCAAAATAGCTAATTTGGGTATCCTGTTCTCTGACTTCTTTCAGCTAACTTGTTTAATTACCCCCACTATGATCTTATACTGACTGTAGCTCACTGATCCTTTTATTTTCAAACTCTCAGCCATCTCCTTTTTAATTTTTTTTTTTATTTTTTGAGACAGAGCCTCACTCTGTTGCCCAGGCTAGAGTGCCATGGCGTCAGCCTAGCTCACAGCAATCTCAAACTCCTGGGCTCAAGCAATCCTTCTGCCTCAGCCTCCCGAGTAGCTGGGACTACAAGCATGTGCCACCATGCCCAGCTAATTTTTTCTATATATATGTTAGTTGGCCAATTAATTTCTTTCTATTTTTAGTAGAGACGGGGTCTTGCTCTTGCTCAGGCTGGTCTCGAACTCCTGACCTTGAGCGATCCTCCTGCCTTGGCCTCCCAGAGTGCTGGGATTACAGGCATGAGCTACCGTGCCTAACCAGTCATCTCCTTTTTATTCCTTTCCTTCTTTTCCATGATTTCTTGCCCTTACATTCCATGAATTATCATTTTAATAGCACTCTTTCTTTTTTTAAATTAATAACACTCTTTACATGCTGTAAGCACCATAACAACTTATCCAATTTGCCTACTAGTCTTCTCCATTTAGACGTTCCTCAGACACCTCAAACTTAACATGTGTAAAATTAAAATCTCTCTCTTCCCACCTCTTTTACCTCCTGTGTTGGTGGTGAATGGCACCACCATCCACCCAATGTGCTAACTGGGCACTCTTCCCTCTCTAGTACTTCTCCCTGCAATAACAAGGACCTGATCCAACATCTGGAGTTAACTCTAAAAGAATCTATCTACATCTTTCCATTCCCACTGCCAGGCCCCTAGTTTATGCTTCCATATCTGAAACAGATTACTAGTCATTCTTTCTGCATAAGGTACTAACTGTTCTTCCTGCTTATACTCTGATGCATTCTCTCCATTTCCCCATTTTCTATATTTTATCCAAAGTAATCTTTCTAAAATGCCAATATGATTATGGCACTCCCCAGTTACCTCATGGACACAAAGTTTCAGGAACCAGGGCAGCCTCAGGGGAGAACAGAAACAAACTAAAGCTGCCAGGACATTTTCTGGTCTCTGCCCACTACTAGCTTTATTCCCTTAGGCTACTCCAAGTCACTAAGAACACAGCCAACAGCAGCTCCAAGGTAATCCCAGAAAGTAAAGAAATAAAATTGACACATGTAAATAGATTACAATATTATTCAAAATATTCACTGATCCTCCCTCATGGAGTATTAAGACATCCTGCCTGTGGATGTCAGGTTTAGCCAATGATGTTAGAAAGCAAGAGGAAATGACATATCCCACTTCTGAACAGAAGCTTTCAGAGCAATGTACGGTTTTACAATGCCTCATTTCCCTGCAGCATAAGAGAAATGTCATAGATAGGAGAAGAATCTGCAGCCTGGGTCCTGGAACAGAGCTACACGATGGATATGCAGCATGAGCAAAAAATAAACCCTTGTTATTGTAAGCCACTGAAATTTGGGGATTGTCTTTTACCACAACATAACCTAGCCAAAACTGAAATACACAGTATGTCATAAAGAAGGACTCTGACTGGCTTGGTTTTGATCACATCCCCTGCTTAAAATCCTTCAGTGACACTCCTGTACTTCCTGGAGTCCAGATTCTAGCAAAGAATACAAGGCCCTTTGTGTTATGGTCCCTCTTATCTCTCCAACCTCATTTCTTGGGACTCACCTTTATATTCCATATTCTAACCACATTAGTTTATTTTAAGGTTTCTCAACACATCATGTTGGCCTATACCCTCCATTTACTAGATGTTACTCTCCATAAAAAGGAAAGTTATTCCTCCAATCCCAACCCAATCCACCGGAATCGTCAACATTGCCTTTAAGAAACCATTTAAACAGAGCTTCCTCTGTGGAGGCACATATGAACCTGCCCCATTTACAAAATTGGTTGCTCTTTTCCTCAGTGCCACCTTAGGATTTTCAACATTTTCTACTCATCCTTATCTTTCTATAAAGTAAATATTTATATAAATGTCCATCTCTCCAACTATATTGTGATCCCACCCTTGATAACAGAGATCATATCTTATTTATCTTTGGAACCCAAAATTGAATGCTGTGCATGGCACATAACAGAAAATCAATATAAGCTTACGAAAAGTGTAAACATACAGTCTTTCATTTTCAGTGAAAAAATAAATTGTATATTTTGCATATAAAATATGAGATAGGCCCTTCTATCATGTTAAAACATAACAAAGAAAATCTAACCTATTCAACTCTTATTTTCCTTCCATTTTCTTTATCAAGAATAATTTTCTACATTGGAAAGAGAAGAACACACATAGTTATGCGGAAACTGAAGCATGAATAGGAGAAAAGATAATAAAAAAGCATCCAGTAGCTTTTAGTAAGTTCACATCTCTAGGACCAGTTAAATTATAGCCTGAGACAATGAGATCTCCATGACCTCTCATAAAGAATGGAAGAGAAGCTAGAAGACTAGAAACAAGAAAATTTAATTTTAATTTCCTCAATTTCAAAAGAAAAGGGGAGACTAGATTCTTGAAACTATAGAGTAAGAGTTTAATAAGGATTTCCGGCAAAATTCTCTTATAAGGTCTACCAGTGGGGTAGGGAAGGGGTACAGAGAACACCAGAAGTCAGACTGGGTTCACAAGAAAAAAAATCATGCTAACTTAATTTTACTTTTGACAAAATTATCAGACTGAAAGATCAGAGAAACAACATAGAGTAGGTCCAACACATATTGTTGAAATCAACATAAAGTTTTTTATGCTAGTTAAGAGATAAATTTATACCTGGTTGAACAACCATCTTCAGATTATAGATCAATTATTAATCAATGGCTTAATATAAATCTATATAGAAGTAACTAATTGTTGTCATAGGGCTGTGTATTTGGCCTTACTTTAGTAGCAGTTTATCAACACTTTAAAGATTTAAACGGTAGCTTATACATTTTGATATAAATCTATATATAAAGATTAGATAATACCTTGAAAGACATAATAAAAAATCACAAATACCTGAACATATAGAAGCAATGGGCTGAAAATACAAAATAAATTTATCAAGGATAAATGTACTGCATTTACCTAAAAATATACAACCAGTAAGAAATCAATTTTAACATTCATTGACGAAATGACAGTTTAGTTGACTGCAAGCTCAAGATAAGCCTTCAGTGTGAGTTGTCAGCTTAAAAAGCTAACACAAATTCACAGCTAATACAATAACACTGCGGTGACCTGAACAAGGAAGAAAATCAATACAGGTCAGGCAACATCTGAGAATTATAATTTGGAATATGACCTCCTACAAGAGACACTGACTACAGGTAATAGATATAGAAGAGCATAACAAGGATAGTAGTAATGGATCTGGTAGACTAAATCTTATGAAGAAAGAGAACCAGGAATGATTTCCATAGAGAAGAGAAGATCTGGAGTAGGAAAAGTAACATCAGAGGTGTTTCCAAGTATTTGAATGACTATTATATTCAAAGGCAGGAATTATATTTTTATATACTTCATATTTATTCCCTATGCACACAATTGCAAACTTTGTATATAATAAATGCTCAAATACTTGAAGTTCAAGATCAACTCATCTGTTGATGGCTAAGCCAACAAAGACAGTTGTTACACAGGAGTATCTGTTGTGATCTGAATGACAACTCAAAAAAGGAGTAAAGTAGGAGGACGGAAACCTAAAATCAAAATAAAAAATGTAAAAACTAACAGGAGCAAGCTAAGTAGGCCCAGCTGAGGCATATTACCTAAAATTTAGAATTTCCATCTTATACAGAGGATATTCTTGACCATACCACCAGTTAAACTTTAGTTCCTTTTGCAAGTATTTCCCCACAACAGAAAGAATTGTTGTTTTCACTCTTCCTTTACAAAGAGAAAAACTGAGGCTGAGGGAAGCTATTTGCCTAGCACAACATCATAACAATGGTTAACCTTGAATAGGAAACAAGTTTTTCTCTCACAAGCCCTCCCACATTAGGGAGGTAGTAAACAAGTACAGTACTTAGCAGCTCAACCTCAGTTTGCTAATTACTTTAGTTTCACTTTTATTACTTGCCTCCAATCACCTGGTCTCTAAGTCCACAAAGAGCAAACCTTCATTAAAACTTTGAAATTTATAGAAAATTTTATTTCTTAAAACTGAACAGCTAAACCAAAATATTAAGATTTGAGACCAAAGATTTGTCAATCTTATACTGCTTAAAGAATAGCCCCGGCACCACTTGTTCCACCATAAGCCAAATCTTGGCCATGAAGGTATATAGCTACACACCTCACTGTCTCTCCCAAAACCTAAGTGACTTCCTTTGTATTTCAGAGATTTGGTGCACAGTGTTAGTGCCAGGGGCAGTGAGACAAAGGTAATGTTAATAAACGAAAAAGGGGTCTTAATGTGTAAGAAGGAGGATTAACACATCAGAGATTTGTTTTCTGTTTTATATACATATTTCAACATGGTGTTAGCTTCTCAGAAAACTCAAAAGGTTGGAGTAACACAGGACTCAATAGTGTCCAAGGAGCAGCTACACCAGGATTTTAAAATAGCAAAATGCTAGTCAGCTGTAGTTGTAAATGTAATAAAAGAATGCCTAAACAAGTACCCACGCTCTCAACTTCCTTCCCAAGGAGGCTCATTTACATTATAATGGTTGCCAAGGTTACTTTAATTCCATCACAGCTCCTGTCTCCAGTGGCTAATCTGGCGCCTGGGTGGCACAAGTACAACAACCAAAAGCCTTAATTGAAGCTAACTCAAAACTCAGGCTACTCAAAAGTTCATGACCTACAAAAAGGATTTTGTTCTAGCGACACAAATTGCTGAAGGTAGGGACTGTTTATTTCCTATACTACATTCTACCCAAGATCTTACTGCTATCTCAGGGAACTCTCTGGGAATCAGTACCTGTATCTGTTCTAAACAGAGATTCTTATAGGAAAAGCAAGTTAAATAACATATTTTGTAAGAGATAATTGATCAAAGGAGTGACTACTTTATTCTAATCAGAGAAGGCTGTTATCTAAAAGGACATTGAAAAGTCTCTCATGTGAATTATTACTAAGTATTATCTTCTAAGTATGATAATATGTAGTGCTGGTATACACGTAGTACTTAAACCAGACATAAATAATGAACGAGGCTAGTATATTTAGAATTTAAACCACCAAACAGACATACAGTAACAAAAAAAAGTGAAGGAAGAAAGCAGGCAAAAAAATAAAAGAGCAAGATTGCAAGATTTCAGAACCATGCGTCCCAAACATTCACTTCAAGTATAGCTTAATTAACAAAATATTTATATATATGTATATATATTCCAATGATAATTTGTTATCAGAAATTTTACTCCCAAAGGTAGCAACAGCAGGAGACACCAGGGTACTACTCTGTAGGTATCCTCATAGTTATCCAACAGATGCTTCGAAGACCACCTTAGTGGAGAAATGAAGTTTCACATTTATGTATTTTTACTTTTTGTTTATTCTCTTTTATCTCCACTCCCATCACCCCCAATGTAGGCAATCATTGTAAAGTGTTTAATAAGTTACCATTTTCTTGCAAATTATGTAATGTGTTTTACTTTCATACATTTTAAATTGTATATAAATGCTATTGTATTACATATCTCATTCTGTTTCTTTCTGTTGTTACTTAGCACTGTTTTTAAGATCCATCAGGCTGCCGAGTAAGTGCTCATCTAGTCCATTACGTCAAACTGTCTGATGGTACTCTGTGGTATCATTTACCCTTCACTGGGCAAACGGTATGGACAACAAAATTGCTTTCCACAAGAACAAATAACACTGCAATGAACAACCCCTCATGGACTTATGTGAGAATTTCTTTCAGATATAGGCCCAGGAAAAAAACTGCTGGATCATGGGGCATACATAATGCATAATCTGATTAAGCACCACCCTCCAAAATGATTAGACACCAAGCACTGGATAGGCACTTAAGATCCTTTTGTTCCTGTACCACCTCATTCTCTTCAGCTAGCTGGGGCTCTGTTTAATCTTCACATCAGTCGTCATTATGTCAGAAATATGAAGGTAGGACTTCCTCCCTTACTTTTCTTTTCTTTTTTTTTTTTTTGGAGACAGAGTCTCACTCTGTTGCCCAGGCTAGAGTGCCATGGCGTCAGCCTAGCTCACAGCAACCTCCAACTCCTGGGTTCAAGCAATCCTTCTGCCTCAGCCTCCTGAGTAGCTGAGACTACAGGCATGCGCCACCATGCCTAGCTAATTTTATATATATATATTTTTAGTTTTCCAGCTAATTTCTTTCTATTTTTGTTTAGTAGAGACAGGGTCTCGCTCTTGCTCAGGCTGGTCTCGAACTCCTGAGCTCAAAGGATGCTCCCACCTCTGCCTGCCACAGTGCTAGGATTACAGGCGTGAGCCACCACCCCGGCCCATTTTTCAAGTTCCCTATTCTACTCCAACAATGTCTAGGCTGCCAAGGCCTCCACTAACCATGAAGCTTACAAATATACATATATATGTGTATATATATATATGTATATGTATATATCTCAAACAGCGAATGTTATTTTAAAAAGGTCTGATTCTCAAAAAGTCATTAATTGAAGTTTACCCATTACACAGAACACTTTCATATTAATTTTGGAGCCATTCCTATTCTCATCTGAGGATTATTCTATAGGTCACCTATATTCTGTTTTTTGGGTCTTGGAGAAACAGCTCCATCTCTTCAGAAATCTTTTTTTTTTTTTTTTTTTTTGAGACAGAGTCTCGCTTGTTGCCCAGGCTATAGTGAGTGACGTGAAGTCAGCCTAGCTCACAGCAACCTCAAACTCCTGGGCTCAAGTAATCCTTCTGCCTCAGCCTCCCGAGTAGCTGGGACTACAGGCATGAGCCACCATGCCCGGCTAATTTTATATATATATTAGTTGGCCAATTAATTTCTTTCTATTTATAGTAGAGACGGGGTCTCACTCTTGCTCAGGCTGGTTTCGAACTCCTCTCAGGCAATCCGCCCGCCTTGGCCTCCCAGAGTGCTAGGATTACAGGCGTGAGCCACCGCGCCCGGCCAGAAATCTCTTTTTAATACATGAAATAAAGGGAGCTAGATTAGAACCAGTGCTTTCAGTCTGTAGTCTGGAACCCTATGGGGCTCCTCTGAGGTGGCTCTAAAGGATTATGTCAAGACGAAAAGGGGGTGTCTATGCCTCTTCAGTAAGAACAGTACAATAAAAATTTTATTATTTATAAATTTTGTTTTCTCCTAAGATTCAGTTTGGAGAATCAGTTCTATTTCAGAAAAAGTTTATATACGCATTTCTATTTGGAAGTATTAACTGGTATAACCTCTATTGCATTTGGCAATATTTCTAAAATTTAAAAAAAATACCTTTTGAACTAGAAATTCCACTTGTAAGAATTTATTTCACATACATTCACATATGTGTTCTATACATAGCTACAAAGATATTCATTATAGCACTGATTGTAAGGGCAAAATATTTAAAACAACTTAATCATCAATAGGTATATCCACCTAATGGAATATTATACAGACTCTAAAAACAACAAAATAGCCCCAAGATATATTAAGTGAATAAAAAAAGCAAGATGCAGAATGGTGTATGCAGTATGATACCTTTTGTTTATTTTTAAAATATACTTGCATATATATAGGCTACTCCTAAAAGATATATAAGACTCAGTCCAATCAACTGGGTTAAGGAAAAAAAAGATACATAAGAAACTAAAAATTTTGGTTGCCACTATGAAGGGCTGATCAGGTGGCTAGAGGATTAGAGCTTTATTATTGCTATATAATCTTTTTATATCTTTTGAATTTTATACTATTACATGTACTATTAAAAATTTAAATTTATCATTCTAACATTATTTTCTGAAGTTTCTTCTACTCCACACATTCTGACTATCACACATTGACTTCCAATTAGATAGTATTTACTTCAAGTAGTCAGAAAAAATAAAGTAGTTGAAGGGTAATAAGAGACCAGCTTTCATTCAGCCATGTGAATGTGTCTACATAGGACACAGGTATTAAATTTAGTCTTGGCACTGCCTCCTCTTTTGCAATGAATTTCTTTCTAACTGGATTTCATTTTCTTTTTTATTCACATCAACTTCCCTGGAGTTCATCATGCCAGGTCTGCTAAATGAATTGCTTTATTCCTAAGAATTGCTAGAAAAAAGTAATATATTCATGTAAATGACATATGACAGTTGACTATGTAGCTCAAAATTTATTTTTAATGATACCAGATTTTGAAGACTCAGTACAAAACAAAAAAGGAAAATATCTCAATTTCTATACTATAGATTATATGTTAACAATGAAAAATATTTTGGATTTATTGAGTTAAATACAATACATTATTAAAATCAGTTTCACTTATTTCTTTTTACTTTTTTAACTGTGGTAACTGGAAAATTCTATTTCACTTTCTGATTAATTCAGAAATCCTACTACATTTCTAATTAGTTCACTTTCTCACACTCCACTAAAAACTATATCATATTTTACCACTACTCTGTGCTTGCTTCAGCAGCACATACACTAAAACTGGAATGATACAGAGATTAGCATGGCCCCTGCACAAGGGTGACACACAAATTCGTGAAGCAGTCCATATTTTAAATAAATAAATGATTTTCACCACTTTTCTCAAACCTCTGAACCCTTTTCTTCTTCCACATCTTGGCCTATGACCTTGCCTCAGAAAATAGAACGTTTGCTATATAAAGTTGCCTTCAGGTTATTTACAAAGTTACACGTCTTTGAAATAAAACTTGTAAATAGCATTCCTTTAACTAGGTTCAAAAAACCAAAGTAACCCATAGCTTAATGAGCACTGATGGTTTTATAGTAGTATGGTGCCACAAAGAAGCCGAAACAGAAAATTGAAACCAGGCTCTAGTTTCAGCAAAATTGCTGTTTCTTAGAAAAATATTTATAATGTACCAATGAAGTACAAAATAATCCAATGTAAAGTATCTAGGTTTTATTTTTTTATCATAGTTTTTAGATAAAGCAGTATTAGCTTCTCTGAAATTAACATGATGTTATACTAAGAAGTTACCTAGTTCATTTCAAATTATATTTCAGTATCAAATAAGATAATGGATTTCATTGGATTGAAAGGCATAAAGAGCTATACAAAGGTAAAATTATGTTATTATCGGATAATAACGTAATTTTGCCAACACTTTTATAGTTCCTGTCCATTAATGGTGCTTTGTAGACAAGGCGCTCTCATTAACCACCTTTGTCCTCCACACAATCTTTCTAAGTATAGCTACTGTTATGTTTGGGACCTTTATGATACCTTTCAAAGCTATTTTTTGACCCTCTCCCTCCCTGCTTCTACTCCAAATCCAGTTCTAACTATCTATAAGACATCTTCATTTAAATGTTATACTAATATTTCAAACACAAGGTAAAAAACTGAACTTGAGTTCTTATTCTGTAATACTTTAACCAAGCGCTCATATTATGACTTAATGTGTCATAGTGAAATAAGCATTTGGTTAAAGAACTATAAAACAAGAATTCAAGTTCGACTTTTTACTTTGTCGAACTTTACTTTTTACTTATGATTTGTCTAAATCATAATTCTTAAAACAGAAAAGATATGACTATAAATTAAGTTTTTTCTTGTTTCTAAAATTCTTTTTACTCCTTTGAAAATTCATAAAACATGAAAACCTAAATAATTATACTCTGAAACACGTGTGTTCTAATTTCACCTCAGTAATATTTCTTTATCATAACCTTATAGCTCTGGAATTATTTTTTACAGAGAAAGTGAGATGTTATCTTGGTAAAATGCAATTTTTGTTTTTTGCACTTACAGCTCTCAGAGCCTTGGACAAGCACCAAGTAGAGTGCTTAATGGCATTTAACAAACATTAATTGAATTTCATTTTATTTGGCCTTGCCATTAGTAAACTATAATTGTTTACCACAGTGCTATTATAAGAACCAATTCAAATGTATAAGTACTCTAAAAAGAGTATTCTTTGATACTCTGCTACATCTTGGCAAGGTCCTGACCTTCCTAAGGGTTCCCTTTCTTTTCTTTTCAAGATTAGGACAGAAGTTTCAGCAGCCTGCCTGTGAGCCTGAAAATATCTATCGCTTTTGCCTCCTTTTTAAGCCAACAGCTCTCTTGCTGAGGCTCCAAATCTTTAAGTAGAAATACAGATTTATCACAATCTCTGTTACATATTTAAAGAACAATTCTGGAGAAGAAGAGTATACCAAACAGTAAATCTACAAAGTAGGTTTTAAGCCAAAGGAGTTTTAACTGGTTTAACTTGATGCTCTTGAATAAAACCTGTGTTACTTTAGAACTGCCAAGTTATCATCATGTTGATAAATACTACACACTGTTCCTATTGTTATTGTCTAGCCAGAGAGCCTGAAAATGCTTGGGCTCCTTCCAAAGGCTTAACTATCAATGCCATCTGACAGAATCTACCTAAAAATGCTACATACCTTAAACCTTAAAAATACTAGAGTCTCCATGTATTTGACTGCATCTAGAGTTAATGTTCATTCAAGGCTCAGAGGTAACTCGGTTGCTAAAGGGAGATAAATACGTTATAAATCAATGGTCCATGATTGGGCTCAGCTTGATAATCACAAACATTTATTAAGAATCTATTATGTGCCAGCATTAAATTGTGCAAGATTCACTAAAAGTAAGCCAAGTAATGAACAAAAAGCAGATCAGCTAGACAAACAGAAGCAATTAAAAGACACTACACCAAGGGATGGAGAAAAATATTCTCACTCAATGATTCTCACTCAAAAAGATACTAAAGGCCGGGCGCGGTGGCTCACGCCTGTAATCCTAGCTCTCTGGGAGGCCGAGGCGGGCGGATTGCTCAAGGTCAGGAGTTCGAAACCAGCCTGAGCAAGAGCGAGACCCCGTCTCTACTATAAATAGAAAGAAATTAATTGGCCAACTGATATGTATATAAAAAAAATTAGCCGGGCATGGTGGTGCATGCCTATAGTCCCAGCTACTTGGGAGGCTGAGACAGAAGGA